AACTGGATGCCTACCCTTAACTGGCCCTTCATCTCACACCACCTCAAACTCAAAGCTCAAGGATGGCAGTTCACGAAGCATCGAGCGCACTTTTACTCCAGATTAGCCACTCACAAACGACTCTTCCGACGCCTTCGTCAACGTCAGCACACCCTCCGAGAACCACACCTCTACACCTCTACCAAGCATCACGCTCTTACGCTCCTCCGCAACCTTACCAAACATACAGCAGCTTCCTTCGAAGCAGCAAAACAATTGTTCAGTGGCCAACATACTGATCTTGAAGTCTACGCCATCCGGCGTATGGCCGCCAATCTCGAAGAACCTGGCCGCAGTCGAGCTCTCCACATCATCAACAAAGCCCTTCTGTATCGCAACCTCACACCACCCAAACCCAACATCCCATTAACAGTGCCCTTCCTGGCCCACGAAGATTTCACCAAGCATTGCCAACAGTGGCTCCGTACCACTATACAACACCACAAGCATCTTGCTATCCCCCCTGCACCTCCCGTCACACCGCCTCCGGGAAGCTGCACACAAAACTCTACGATCCCAACTACACAACCACCGCACCTGGGAGGACACCCTCCATTCCCCGCCGGATCCGGCGGACCTCCCCTGCGCATGCCACCATCTTCGAACTCTACTGCAAGATCCTGATACACCCACCATCAATGGCCATTACATCCTCACACTGGATCAACTTCACCTCAGCATCTTTCTCAACGCCAACATGAACAGCACCTACTATCCAAGCAAGGCTCGCTACTTCCTCACTTTCCAGACAGCCTACACAAAATGGCTTAAGATGCAGGGATTACCGCCGTCCCTCGTGGAGCACTTACACCCTTTCCTCGAACACCAATGGCGCCTTCACACCACACACCTTAAACAACAACCACGCTTTACAGCACGCCTGCTTCGCCAACTCCAAGAATACCTGGGCCAAAACACAGTGCTTCACCATGCCGATCATGAGCTTCAACAACTCTGACTGTTCTGCCCCCGCCAATACTTCACTGGCGCCTTGAATACATGGCAATCCCCCGAACTTTTCGAACCACTTCCCTACCTGACAGCCGCCAACATCCACGACCATCTCAAAGCCACCGTCCCATCCACCTTACGCAACCGCTACAAATGGGGTTTCCGCAAGGATTTCAATATCCCCTACGGTGTGGTCCACCTCAAGGAGAAGAAGCAATGGCAGAAAGGCCGCACCATTATCTCCTACTTCCATTCACTCAGCGGTAACCTACTCCGCATCACCAGCCGAGCCCTCGACATCATCCTTCAGCACCTCTATCCCCAACATCCAGGACAACTGTCTATTCCACAACTATGGCACCATTTCCACAGCTACCTCACCCAAACCCCCGCGGACATTTCCCTGCACGCCACCAACGACGACCTCGTTGGCTTCTTCAACTCTGTCCCCCAACACAGACTCATTGATGCCGTTCACTCTCTGATCCACCACTGGCAACAACAGCAATCCACCCACACCATCACAGTGGATGTCCAAGCCACCGGCAACCCCTTCCACCACTCCCACATCGGCAGACACCACCGCAAGCATCCCACGCAACGCACCATCCAGACCTCCGACATCACCACCATCGTGACCTTTGCACTCAACACTTGCATTTTCCGGGCCTGCAACAACACCTACAAGCAAATCCGAGGAGCTGGGATTGGCTCCCAACTCTCTCCGGCCCTCTGCAATGTAGCCATTACACTCATTGAACACTCCTGGCACCAGCTCCACAACAACCTCCTGCAACACACCAGCCTACACTTTCACCTACTACCGATACGTTGACAACCGCTTCATTGTCCACAACGAACATTTCCTACACCATCCCGCCATCCAGACCCTCATCCACCACAACTTTTTCGGCGACCCGGTGGAACTCGAACCTGTGGACGACTTCCACCTCCTCGGTTTTAACATCGACCTCCAACAACGCACCATCACCTACATGCAACCTTCCCAACCCTGGAAAATCCGGGGTTCCACTACCGCCGGGAGCCAGCGCTTGGCTCTGTCAGGCCTCCAATCCAGACTTCACACCATTCGAAAATACACATTTCCACCCTCCAGCGCTGAAGCTGCTGCAGCCGAGCTAGTGAGGCTTTATGTCCAAAAAGGACACAACCACCACGCCTGCCACCGGTTTTTGAAAAAGCGCCGGAGCCGGCGACTTGTGTGTGTCCACCCCTGGACCAAGGGTTTCGTCCAACCGATCCACCTGCCACTTGTACCACCACCGATTCACAAGCAGGGGGCCAGCGCATGACATCACGACGCTGGCCAACGAAGCTAGTGATGTCATGGGATGCGGTCAGAGACGTCTGACCGTGTACCTGCCAGAAACTGTTGATCACGCTGTCCAATCTTCCTTTTTTGTTTTCATGGTCCTTCATGCTACCACCCCCAAACCGGTTTCCCACCGCTGCCTTCAGCCGCCGACGTTCAGCCGCGCTTCTGCAGATGAGTGAACAGATTGTTAAACATTTCAGTTGCGCTGACTTTTTCACCTTACGTTTCCCTCACCTTCCTTCCCAACGTGGTAACTGAGTCACTGAAAACCAATGTCAGAGTGTATAAGTATAAAATAACATAAATCCGTATAGTTGGCATCCTGCCCACTGGCTGAGCACCTCTGAGAAGCGTTTTGTCAATATTGTGTGTTTTTGTTTTTTCCTGTACCCCTTGTGCAGGCAATGAAGAGCAATGTCATGAGGCTTACCTTCTTCATCGGACATTCCGGCAACAACTGGAGGCACAGCCACCATGACTTGTGCAAGCTTATTGCCACCCACAGGAATCAGATCTCAAAGGGAAAGTCGGCTCGCAAAGCAGAATCTTTGGTTTATGGTCTTGATAGTGGTCTTGACGTTTAAATGTCTCAACATGAGGTTTGGTTCAGTTTAGACCTGCCTTCCTTGAATCTACGACTATCCCTGTTTACATGTGGAGGCATCCTCTTTGAAGCACCTTTGAATGCTTGTGTGTTGGGAATCATGAGGACTACTATGACTGTCTATATGGTTTTCTAGTTGTTGTGTTGCTTTCCTAGGCTATCACTTGTGTTCTGACCTTGCCAATGTCAGACAGATAACATCAGAAAATTAATAGAAACACTCTCTTGGCCCGCATTGCTTGGGTCCTGCCTTGGCAGGGCTTTCTGGAGGCCTTTCTTCGCGTACACGTGGCTGGCTGAAGACACCAGCGTTTGTTGGGGCAGATGTTGGAAGCAAATACCTCAAGATCGCAATTTCCCGTCAAACCAAGTTCTCCACGGTGTTGGAAATCCTTCGATCAGCAAAGGTTCAGTTCTGAAAATCGTAAAGTCCACAGAACTGAATGACTGAAGCTTCCAAAGACACTCAAGTTGTGGTTTGTGCTTCAATTTTGATTGTCCCGACCAAGATCAGCCTTCATTTTCCGATTGAACCGAATCAACATGCCGGTCTAACATGGTTTAACTCAGAGGAGATCAGAGGAGACCGGTCTTCTCCCAAGGGCCTTGTCGATGAGCCTCGTGCAATCTCAGGAGACCAACCTGGAGCTGCTGGAAGAGGCTCTGAAAGAGGCCAAGTGCTCCGAGGATCTCTACACTTCTGCAAGCTCATTTAGCTCATGTTTGTCCCTACCCGATCGGCCCGTGGCCCCTAATTGACCGTCTAAAGACTTGCAGCTTAGATTTAGTTTGATGTTGATTAGGGGGGCTATTTCAATTGCCTTTAATGCCTTTCTTTGCGGTGTTTATTTTTCCTTCGGAACCACCGGAGAATGCCAAGGGGGTGAACGAATGCCCCCTTTTGATAGGAGGTTTGCAGATGCACTAAGATGACATTCCTCCCAAGCGTCAGCGGTATATATATATATATATAGATATGTGTAGTCAAGTCAAGTCCTGTACTGGATATATAAGTAAGGGGACGGAGCTTTTAATTTCAAACGAATCCATGGACACTTTGGCATGTGTCCCCGTCACGTTTTTGACCGTTCTCTCGGGCATGTCGTGGGTCCGATGTGCTGGACTAAGGTTGTGAGGTCGTGATGGAGGAGCTGTTTGCCCTTCTGGACTACCAGTCATTCCTGGAAGTCATGCAGCGCGCGACAGTCGCGACAGACCGTGCCGCTTCCGGTGCGCCACAGGCGACCGTCTCGCAGGGCTATCCGCGCGAGTGGTCGTCGGGGTGCACCACTTCAACGGCCTTTTAGAAGGCGGCCTGCCGCGTTGCCTATCGTTGCATTAAAGGCCTGGCGCCATGAGGTTAGCCTTTGCCTGCATTTGAGGTTCGCAGCTTCCAAGGGACCATGTACCATCGCAATGGGAGAGTGGAAGGCTGCCTCGGCCATGAATCATTTGCTCTTGTGCACGACCCCGTATTCATCCCAGGGTCGGCGGAATCATTTTATAGCTTGCAAAAGGCCGGAGTTGTCGGGTTGGAGGCTGAAGCTACAAAGTGCAGCCATGGCAGATGGTGCAATGTCATGTCCAACGGTGTCCTTCCTTTTTGGAGCTGAGAATGGCCAGGCGATCGTGTGCATTCCTTCAAGGAATGCCGGTGGCGATCGTGTGCTGTCTACGGAGCACTTGTTGGACGCTGGCAACGCTTTGCTTCATCCACCGCGCCAGGGCACCAGAGGTCTACGTGCGAAGTGCTGCGAACAGTGGATTTTTTGGTGGGGGGACCAGTCGGTTCAGCCATGGTCAGCCCATTCATACAACAGAGATACATAAAGCTCAAAGCAGAACCCAACATGTCCATGTCCATGATGAACTAGACAAGGTGAAGCCAATCGAACGCCTCCGAGAATAGAACGACCGTACAGCAAGTAACATGAGAAGTGTGAAAAAAAGGTGCGGCGTCCACTTCTGCTGCTTCTCCTGCTTCGCTGAGTTTTAGGCCCACTGGGGCATAGGGACCACTTTTTCTGTTTTTCTTTAACACCGTAGTACCCAGGGTTGACCTCCCCTGAGGTCTTTTCGTGAAGCACACGAAGACAGGCGGGCCCAACCAGCTTTCAGGATGTGGAAAGACATTTGAAAGGCGCGAGAGGTGAGACCAAAGGCGTCAGCAGTTCGGTGACAACACAACGATGGGCGCTTGCCCAGGTCAAGCAACCTCACCACGAACCAACCTCACCACCAACGACAGCAAGAAAGACTTCCTTTTGACCGTTGGACCGTTGGACCGTAACAAAGCTGCGGGGCTGCCAGGCAACCCCTTGGTCGATTCCGTAGCTGAGCACCAGCCTGCGAATCCCAGAATCTATGTGGCTTGGCAGAGCTTTTTTCAACCTGGGGTTTTGAGGTTTGATATGGTTTGACTCTACACTGGTATGCCATTCCAGGAAAGTAACAGACCCGGTGACCTGCAATGTGTTGGTCCTTTTATGTCATTTTCATACACCGACCCGGGGCTTAGTGGGCATGCTGCATTCGCACCGTGTGCTCGCCTGTTCTTCCTAACAGGCCGTTGTTTCGCCGAGGCAAGCCATTTGGGCTTGCCCTTGGACTATGTCCTTTTGGGCGGCCTTGTCTCCATCTTCCAGAGGAACAATGGCCGGATGCCCCAGAGGTCCTTCAACCACAGGAGTGCCGACACTTTTGGTTCAAGAGGGCATCTCGTACAAGAATTGCACATGGTCATTCCTGGGTGCTTCCAAGCTCTATTCAACTATAATACTATTTTTCAGAATCAAACGCCTAGAATAATAGTTTCCACTGTTAGATTCTCCCAGCGGAACTCGAATTAAATCTCTTTAAACCGGACACATGTGCCTCGTTGCTTTGCCCTCACAGCAAAATCCTTGTGCTACTCAGGTTTGATGGCGACTAGTTACTCATGCTTTCACAACTGTGAATCAGATTCGCACGTGACTAGTTGGTTTGATTTGATATGTTGGACAGACATCATATGACCTCGAAAGCCTTTTTTGCAGAGCGGGCGGTGACTATCACTTGGCCAAGGCTTCTACTTCATGTGCCTTTATGGTTATATAGTCGGGATCCTCAGCCTCAGCTTGTTTCCTGCTCATTATTGGTTCAACAAAATCAGATTGCGAGACAGGGTTAATCCGAGCTACTTTGGTTTTTTGAAAATATTTGCATGCAGTTTGTATCCATGCAGCTGTTTCATATATCTCATGCCCCTTCCGTGTGTCAAGACCTGGAATCAACCCCATCAGTGGGTTAACGGATACTGCAGATTGGACAGACTAGTGCTTTGACAGGTTGATGCAAAACGGAAGAATCAGTGGCAACACGCCTGGCAATTATCATATGTTAAACGTGTTAAACAATGAATAATAATGGCATATAATAGCTATAACGATTCTAAATGATGGTAGATTTGTAGAATGTTTCGGATTTGGTAATAACTGCAACTCCGTTTGCGAAGATTGTAAGACCTCCCCTCGGACGATGCCTTGGTGCCGCGTGGTTGCCCTCCAAGGCATCGCACTTCTCCGGAAAGATGTCTCGATTGGTCCTGATTTGTGGGCCGATTGTCTCGGTGGCCTGTGGTTTCCCGGCGCATGACTGGTGCATCGGAAGTTGAACTGACAAGCCAGTCATGTGGATGTTTGGCAGGTTTCATGGCTTGTAGGATGCTTGTGTTCTACAAGTTTCCAGATTTTGTTCCATGATGGTGGTTTGTTGGATGACTTGACAAGGGGTTCTACCACAGCAAAGCCCAAAATTGCTGACAAGCCGCTGGAGATCCATCCATTTTTTCCTTCAAAGGAACTGCTTCTCTGGGGGGTGCCAGACCCAGCGGCGGTTTGGTTGGCCGAAAACGGCACTCAGCGCCGAACTCACCCGAGCCGTGCTGGCAGAAACGGCCATAAACAGCTGCAACATGCCACAGAGCAGCCGAGAGGCTATCCGAACCGCGAAGTTGTGTTGTCAGAGTGCTGAAGGAACTCTACACAGCACTTGATTTGCATCGCATCAAGATCGGCATGGCCAATGCAAGTAGAAATAGAAACGTCCCACAAACTTGTTTGTGTGATGTTGCTGGTTTCGAGGAGACCAACCTCAAAGCCCTTTTCAACATGTTTTGCTTGACTCGGAGAACTCTCCAATAGATTTGTCTATGTGAAGCACTGTATCAAAGGTGTTCTATGGTGTTCTTGGTTTCACATTGGCCTTATAGCCTCTCGTCGCTTTTTCATGGTCCGTTCGCCCAACTTTTGTTCGCCCTGATCTGAAAACAGCCCGGGCCCGAGGAATTTGGTGCGGATTCCTTCTGGACATGGTGATCGATCCGCCGCTTGGTCCGGTCGGAGGGTCCGAACGTGTCGTCGGGTCCGAGTGGTCCGAAGGCGTCGGAGGTCGGAGACTGCAGACACGGGCGGGCTTAGTCGCATGGGTATGGGGTCCAACCATGTGATGTGCAGACCACATTCCATTCGTTCCATGAAGTGAGTACATGTGAGTACCACACTGTACTGCAATTGAGCTGGAACGAAATGAGCATGCAAGCACATGGCCGTAGTCCGTGCAAGTTACAATTACAAGTCCACTGAATTGCCTGGAGCCCAAGTGTTGGTTTCCCTGGACTTTTGGCACAGCTGCGCAGCTTAAAGGTAGCTAGCATATGCTAGCATCGTTTTTCCGGAGCCTCAGATACAATTGGCCTTGCAGGTTTTGGTCGATTTCACGCGTCAAGGACATTGGGCCACCTAATTACTAGTAACAGTTGGCAGGTAGCACAGCATGCGCTTGAACACATGCTTTTGTCAAGCGACCCAACCTACATATTCCGAAACGGGCCCTCACCATGTACTGCATATTGCATACTATGATTGCCCCAATGGCAAAGTGTCTACAACCTTACACCAGAAAAAGACACAGACAGACTCCACACCCCCACACTCCAGACTCACTGGCGGAAGCGGGGGAAACCGCAGAAACGCGTTCCCACACATTCAGCTTTCCCCGCGCCTTCACGTCTGAGGTTTTTGCTGTTGCTGGGAAAGAAAGGCTACGTGGCTCCCACTGCAACAGCTCCCCCCACCTCGGCCGATGAGAAATCGCCACTCGGAATGGGTTGAAATTTGGGAGTTGGGAAGCTTCGAGTCCAAGTCGAAGCGGTGATTTGCGGGTGATCCGGATCCACCAAAATGTGTTTAAAAAGCGCTTCGCTCAGTGCCAAATGTCGCTTTTTGATGCGGGAGAAAGTCTCACTTCCAGGATCTTCCAGGTCTTTGATGCCAAGATTCGGATTTTTGTGGTTGATGAACGCTGAAGCACAAAGTATATATATATACTTGATTGATTGAGAAAGCAAGACAGGGATAGACAGGGAAGAAAGAACAAATGACAGAGAGAGGGAGGGAGGGAGGGAGAGAGAGAGAGAGAGACGGTTTTGGTAGCCTGACCTACTATAGTACCTACTATATGATAATCGAAACAGTTCTTTGACTTTCAGGAAGGAGTTCTTCCTGATATGTTGGCGCAGATTCAATCATTCGGGGGCAGTGTAGGATTACAACATCCACCAAGTGTAATGTGGAGGTGGAGGAACAATGAGGAATATGGTTTTGGTGTATAATATTTTATACACCTTGTTTCTTTGCATGGGCATTCGTTCACGGCACCTTTCCCACAAAAGTCTGACTGGACGGCAGTCACATCTGAGGTCAGGCAAGGCCAAGCAGGGCAAGAGCCAGAAAGGACTGACGGTCCGTGCGAGAGGTGCTTTCGGTGCTTTCCGGAAGTCGGGAGACGAGGTCAGGTGACAATGGGATCCAAACACCATCAAAAGGGTTGCCTTGGGATTCAAGAGGCGGGAACTCTTAAAGAAGAAGAGATTAAAGATTTGACATGCAGGAAATAGAACTGCAAACAAGAAAGGACCACAACCACAATGACCGCCGCAACCACAACAGCAGCAGCAACAACAAAAGAAGAATAACAAAAACAATAACAATCCGAACAGCTAACAATAATTCAGAATAAACTGAAGCTGATACGTCGCTTTAAAGATTTGCCCATTCGCTCAACCGAACAACATATATGAGAGGGAGTAGTTGCACCACCAGCCAGCGGCAGGCTGCTTCATAATGCATTGTGCCCAGCTGCACGATGTGGTGCAGGATGCTTCAAGAACTGAACTAAACATAAAGTTACTGTAACTATACTGTACTATATAAACGTTGTTGAAGCAGAACTCGGAGGAGTATGTACAACTCTCTAAGTTAACAACTAACAGCCGCTAACACAACTAAACGATTTGTTGTACAACTCTGAGGCCACTCGAACAGAAAGTCAACAAAGACCTTTCAACCAGACGCTGCCAAGAGAGAGAGAGAGAGAGAGCAGGAGAGGGAGTTGATATGCCTTTGAAGACATTCCTTCCTTCACAAGGAGTATGCTCGTGCATTTGGCACCCGTCAGTTGCTTTTCCCAGGAAAAGATGCCAAGCCCACGAGGTGGGGTTCCAGAAGTTTTACCGGTCCAATGTGATCTGCCCACCTGCCAACGGTGCAGACGTTTAACTTGTCCAGCGGCGTGTTTCTCCAAGATCTTTGCTTCCATTGGAGAGTATACATCACTTCTGCAGGCGGAACGAGCGAGTGGCCGAGGTGGAACTGGAAGAATGGGAAGAGGACCGCCATGAACGCACCGGACAGACGCCGTCGCATGTCGTCGCGCCCGGACGTCAAGTTCGCAAAACACCCGGTGTTTTAAGGGGACAGCTGAGTGGTGAAGCATTGGGGAAGCACCAGGTTACCCAGCCCTGTTTGACAGGGCCAGCTGGGAAGATCAAGCCCTATCCACTTCAGGAGAGCCGCCCAGGTGGGGCGATGCAGCTGAAGAGATTCTTGAAGAGCTTCTGGGCCAGATCAATGCAGGGTTGCAGACACAGACAATAGGGACTAAAATTCAACAGCAGTACAGAGATGCTGCACCAAAAGTTCATTCATCGCTATTTTTGTTCCGGCGCGACCTGTGTCGGAACCAATCTCATGCTGGGGCTTGAAATAGCAGGCACCTTTGATAGCAGGCAGCCCTTGTTCTTGCGGGTGGTCATGGAGTCCCCATTCACTGCTTGTGAACTCTTCATTGCTTGGCCAGTCACCACCTGAAGGTTCCTCAGCTGCTGAGGCTCATACCAGCAGCTCTTTCCAGGAAGCAGCTTGCGGCTTTGATGATTTCAGAGAAACCCATCAGATCCATGCTTGAGGATTGATCTATATAGTCTTTACGTGAGAATCAGTGGGGTGCCCTTGTTGGAACACTTGTGCGACCACCGGGGGTGATCACCAAGGGAGGATGCGAAAAAGTTAAGACAAGACGCTGAGACTTGGCGATGAGTCATGCGGGTCCAAACTGCTTTGGACGGGCCGAGTATCGATCGGGTGGCCAACCCACCGTTCGTGAACGGTGGCCCGAACGGAGGGCACAGAGCGAACGTGCACCGCCGCTTTGGGGCTGTTTGAAGATCATGATTTTATCTCCATGGTGGTGTTCTTGTCATTGCTCATCCATTTTCAACATGCAGCGCTCAAGTACACAATTCGCAGAAAGATCCTGAAACGTACTTTTCGTCACAGGGTTGCAACATGGTGATGGATGACCAAGTTGGAAGAGCTTCCTTCTTGAGGTTTTCCATGTATGCAACGGTGCTCCAGGCGGCGATGCCAAGACCCATGTGAATCAGTTTATCAGCCTGTATATGTTATGCAGAACCATGTTCTTTCCACCATTTTAAGTGAATTGCCCAAGGACAGCAAGGTGCTTCTGGTGTTGCTTCGATGCGCTTTGGCCATTGACCCTTGGCTAGAAGATGCATCGAAGCGCAGGTTTGAACAGTAAAATACATTTGCAAATGGGCATCATTGGATGTTTAGAGTCTACAGGAGTTTTATTCGGCAAATGCTGGTATATAGGATATAGGTCAAGCGACCCTGACAAGAAATGAAACAAAGCGGCTTAAGACAGGGAGAGGTAAGAAAATGGACTTCTCAACTGACGGTGATTGATTTTTTTCACTATGCTTAGGGTGTATTGCAGTGGGAGGCTCAAGACTATTTCAAGCTGGCAATGGCTATCGTATTAGATTCGATATAGCCATTACCCACTGATACACACATGATGCCTTTTGCTATGAAGGGAATATACTTGGTTTGCTTGCTCAGCCAAACATGGCCAAACCCCAACTGCTCCCAAAATTGATTGGATCTTATATATTTGGTTCCCTACAAATTCAAGCTTTAAGCCCCTAAGATCCTGAGTGCATTCAAAGCGTCCTGCTCACTTCACTCTCCAGACGCCATGTCACTTTGGACCTGGTTGCTGATGGGAGCTTTGGGACATTCAAGGCCCATTTGTTTGTTGGAGAGATTGCAACATGAACCATTTTGGGACCATGTGCCCATCGTGGAGTCTGACAAACAGCGCTGCAGCCCAAAGAGTAGCACTCTGCTGCCCGTGAAGGGTGGCCTAGAGATTCTTCTCGGATCTCTTCACTGGCCTTCTCTTCGGCAGTATTTGCAGCCGTTGGCTTATGTGTCCTACGTGGATGCTGTCCAGCATGTGGACCGAATTGTTTGGAAATTTCCCAGTTGGAGAGCTGAAGGGCCACTGCATGAGACCATGACCCTGTCTGATGGCTTCAACTCTTTTTGGCATGCCCTGCAGGAGTCCCTAGTGGAGTGCACCAGCTCCAGCTGCCTGGCCGCAGTGCTTTTGGGCGAGACGGTGCAAACTGCCAGAGAAGCACTTGCAAGGCCACATGAGATCCCTTCCTGGAAGAGCCTGCAGGCTGCTTTGCGTCAGCCTTTGCCTTGGAAGGCATGGCTGGAAACTAACTGGGCTGTGCCATTGCTGGAGTCTTTTCAAGCTTTGCTATGGGCATTGGGTGAGGAGACCGCTTTTGAGCGGGAAGAGACCGCCTGGGTTTTGCGGGAACTTTTGACCGCTTCGGACTGCCAGGCCGTGGCAAAGCGAGTCTTAACTTCGGATCTCCCTTCCAAGCCCTCTTTCTGGGACAGACCTTTGCTTCACTTGCTGGCACAATGCTCCAAACATTCGCCGCAAGCAGGTCCCCAGCCCTCTTTCCTGGGCCAACGTCACCTAACACATACCTTTTGTGATGATGGAGTGAAGTCATTACCCCTCACAGAGGACATCATGCTACATGTGCATGGTGCAAGTGCCTTTCTCGAGGTTGATAGCCTGGGACGCCGCTGGTTGCGTTTGGAGTTGCTTCACTTTGTCTCCAGCACGGACGGGGCCGTGCGTTTGACGGTGTATGGACACCTTCAGCGAGATCGGAAGTACTACGCACAGGCCCTGACTTTGCCGTTGGCCTTGCAACAGAAGTGGCACTGCGCGCTGGAAAGTTTGGAATCAGATCCTTTGCAGGCCCGAGTGGCTTCATTTTTTGGCTATGATGCCATTGCATACTGTGATTTTCCCGTGGAAGGGACTTTCCAGGAGCTTGTGACCAAGGATCTTCGGCCTTGGTTGTTAATGGGCCAGGTAAAGGAGCCAGCTCCAAGCGCGCTGCGGCTGTGTCCCGCCCCGCAGCACTTGCCGCGCCGGTACCGTTTGGCAGCATGCACTCAGCCACTTCACAGCTTTGCCAAACTGGAGAAATTGGCGCCAAGCTTGCTGCGAGACTTCCTGGACTATCACAGCCTTTTAGGCATTGAACATTTTACCATTTTTGATGCTGATGGCACGCTGGCGGGCCCACTGGAGCGGTACAAAGAGACTGCAGCAGTAGAATTTGACTACTTGGACCACTGGCCAAAGCGGTTCGGTGCAGCACATGCAGAAGAAGGCGAACAATGGCGGCCTCTCCTCTTTGAAGTGGAAGCTGAGAACCACTGCCTTTGGAGATACCGTGGTCAAGCAGATTGGGCTGTGGTGCTGCACTCACCTGATGAGTTTTTGCACGTGCCCAAGTCGCCCGGTCCGAACTCCTTGCGACATTTTCTCGATGCCTTGGAGCCGAGATCCTCCATCGCCCATGTGGAGCTGCGGCAGATCCTCTTCGGTGGTGACGTGCAGCCGGCGACCACGCTGCCGGGCCGCTTCCGGTACCGGGAAGAAGGCACCGAAGCCACCGCTGCGGTGGCCCACACGGTGATCGTGAATGTGGACAACGTGGCACAAGCAGGCGTGCATCCTGCCAGGCCGCGACCAAGCCTGCCAAGCGAGACGCCTTTGCGGATCGTTCAGGCGGATCCCATGACTGACGTACGAGTGAACCACTATGTGAATGCACTGGGTCAGGAACGCTGTGGCCGCAAGCTTTGCAAGGTCCTGGATGAAACTGCCCTTTGGGCTGAGCACATCTTCGGAGAAATCATGGGGCCTGGCGGGTTGACCCTTTGCCATATGAGCATGTATGAGCTGTGTGACATGTTAGGTTTTATTAGGTTTTCCATGTTTTGCTCCACTTCTCCAATCTCTCCAGTGCCCTGCACCGCCAAACACTGAGCTCTAAGACTCCAAGGCCTTTGTGGTGTACATGCTGACCATGAGCTGCTGGGCAGAAGAGGGGCAGGGGTTGGCAAGATCATGATCATGTGGCCTCATGCGCTAAGTGCAACGTTTGCTCTCGTTGGGTTAGAATCAGTCGTTTAGACTTCGATGGTTCATGCTTTGCCAGGTGAGATGAGCAGTGCTGTGCCAAAATACATCGAGCATTGCAAGTCCATTGGGCAGCAAGTGGCCAGCCCAACAGTCGCAGTCTCAGTCTTTTCCCGAACTGGATCGTATCAGGTTGGAGGACTGGTAGGTCTTGGCCCAAGCCGAGTTCACGTTCGGCCCGAGCCAGACAGCCAGACAGGACACATCAGAACACCGTCAAGACCGAAGTTGCAAGACTCGTTGTGAACCTAACATGCACGAAGAATGCAAACTGCAGTGTTTCCATATGTCCATATGTGAAACAACACATGTTTGATCCCAAACGATGCAATCAGATGTTATCATGTTACTGTTTATGCAAGTGTTCATGCACCCTTGAAGTCAGAGGCCGGGCCGTTCGACCGTGGCCTCTCCTCAACCCCCCCCAAATCCTTCGAAGTGTACAGGTGATGTACGCAGTGCAGCAAAGAGATCCTCAGCGGCAGAAGTTCTTCCGAAACGACCACATCCAGATCCTGACGATGACGAAGTCAACGCCAGGGACAAAGGAAGTTGATTACTTTTTACTTGTAGTGGAAGTCGTTGTTCATGGGGGACATGTTTGTGCTTTACATTGCCTTATATTTCATGACTTCTTTTGTTTAGGTCAGTATGAATACAGTATTTAATCTTTGGATGGTTGTTTGCTTCCTTCCAGCCCATTATTTTCACGTGTCACCTTTGCCTTCAGGGTGTCAACGCCTCACTCATGTTTGTATCAAGACCGCTGGCCTCACGGTGGCGGAGATTTTGGAGACAAATATGGCAATATGGCTGAAACAATTATCGAGGGACAACACTTGGGATATCTTGGGGTGGGGAAGCCAGGATCTTGGTTGATACTGCCAGATCACATGCTGTGAAGAGCTGCTGCCCAGGATGGCAGTCTGTACATCGTCAGAGACTACTACGATGGCTACAAGTGGCTAGAGCCGCTATCTTGCAGCCAAGAAACTTCAAACTGAATCGCTTCCCCAATATACCATGTTACAACTACATGGTCGGGTCAGAGCATGAATCAAGACAAGAATGATGACAGGGTAAAAGTATGCAAAAGTCATTGCCTGGAATAGAATGCGACCGTTCTTTATGTGGAGTCACGGAGTCACGGCCATGTTTTCCTACATGGTTTTTCACGGCCCTTTGGATCCCTTTGGCAGTTCGCCTTCAGTTGGAAGACGCAAAAGTTCTCCAACTGCTGCAGATTGGTGCGGTCTCCGCTTGACGTGCTTAGCTGGATCGTTGACATGACCAGCTTCCGTGCCGATGGTCCTTTTGGCCAAGCAGAAACACTTGAGAGAGGTGGAACACATCAGAAATCATTCTCTTACCAGGTGGCTGCCACTCAAAGAACTTCAGAGAATTCCCGAACTGTGTTTTCCCTGCGGCCTACCAATCTTCAAGAAGAAAACGTCAAAGGGAAACGAAACTTCATTCGGCCACGGTGGCCGTGGGAGGATGGTCTCAGGCAGAACACCGCCACGGATGCGCGGGTCATGGCCTGGTGGGACTATGGCACCTCGGTGCACCGGTCACGGGGTCAGATGGGCAGCGTTTTTGGTTGGGCTCCATCTCTAACATCAGAACCTATGAATGGATTTGTGTTAAGGTCCTCCAAATGGTGGATGTTTGATGATGTTTGAAGCATCACCATCAAGCCATCATGAGGCCAACACAAAGCTTGTGGGGCTGAGATGCTCCAAGTTTGACCAAGACCCGGTCGGCAATTTTGAATTGAAGTCAGCTAGTGCTGGTTTTGGAATCCCGGAGTGTTTCTTTAGAGTTGTTGCACCAGCCTTGGAGTTGTTGAACTTGTCCAGACGCACCATCCAAGTCCCAGACTGGCCCCGCATGGACGACTTCCCATTGTCCCGCAGGCTATCAGATCACTGGCATTGCGAACAGGAGCGGATACGTTGATCGGGCGCAACCAAGCAGGAATTGCAACCATTTGACATAGTACGCCATTTGGCAAATTTGTTTTGGGTGCAATGCAAACATGCACTCACTCACACATAAGGATATTTTTCATCACATTCAGGTCCCAAAGACTGTGAGAAGTCATAGGGCGGTTCCCTGAAGCGGATTGGAACCGCTCATTGGAACCAAGAGTGTGATCTAAACCAAAAGAACACTCCGGAGAACCACTCCCCTTCAGGTGCGACCCCCCAAAATCGGAGACTCGCTGCTCCGCTTGCTCCGTCCGGAATCGATCCAGGACCTCGATCGCGGATGGGAACACCTGGAACCACGAGCACATCGCCACCTTGGGCCGGACCCTCACCAGCGAGGCACGTGGGGTAGCCACGCATGTGTTTGATGTTCTTTTTCGCTTTCTTGCTTTCGCTTTCTCGCGGTGCATGTTTTCTGGGAAGGGTGGCTCTTTTGTCAAATGCTTGTTTTTGACAGTGGGTAGTGCTTGCGTGCTGTTTTTTTCATGTTTTTGGTTTTCAATAGTTTTTTGGGGGTGGCAGATCCATAGAGGGTGAGGCAACCACGTATGATGGGAAAGGTGTTCGGCAGGAGTGTTGATGTTTGTTCTTCTTTGGATGCTTTGCAATGCGCACGGTGGGAGCTACTGAGCTACTGCTGGAGCCAAGCAAGCATACTGGAGACAAAGAATCAAGCATACGGAGCCAAGCAAGCGAACGAACAGAGAGGTGACCACTCCGAGTTCACGGCCCCCTCGCCATGTGACCGTCAGAGTGAACTCTCCGCCGTGGAGAAGAAAAACCGTCCCTCTTTTTGTACCAACAAACGGGGTGACGGGCTTGGTACCAGGTAGATATCATTGTACATTGGTGCCTTGGAGCTACAATATGTCAAGCACAATGTAATCCATGCATGGCATGCATCATCATCTAGCCTAATCCTTGCCCCTCATTGGCTAGGGAAGACCACATCAGCCGGAGGGAAGGTTCTCAAAGCTTGTAGTTGGTGTGTTCCTCCAATGTTGGCTCAGAGTCCAGGTGAAACGTGCACATAATGTGATTCGGCACTTGGCGGACTATGTGCTTGTTTGGGGCCGCGGCCAGCAGCTCGTCATTGTCCAAACTTGGCAACGTGAAACCTTGTTCACAGTGCAAGAGTTTTGACTTGATCTTGGAGCAGTTGAATTGCAGTACTTTGTGTGGTAGAAACTATAAGCTGTTGGTAGGGCCTAGAGGCATGGGCGCGCGGCTACAAAGTGAAAGCTTTGTTCATCGCGTTTCATCCCTTGGGTTCACCGAGGCTTCCAGTTTGTTCATATAACTATCCATACTACGGAATATTTACCTACATTTAGATCTTAAAGAACATCACTTATATAACAAAAAACCACCAAATGTAGGTAAATCATGGTACTGTAAACGTTCCATCATGTTCGATACATGGATTGCTTGTGATATCCTTTGCGCCTCACCCATTCGACGGGTCCGGTCCCGAACGTTTGGTGCGCTCGGGACCGGCCCGAGGCGGGACGACTTGGGAAAGTCCCCACACCTGGCCAGGCAGGGAGCGTTTGGGTATGGGTAAGGGGGAGGGAGAAAGATGATGAAAGAGCTGAAGGGAAGGTGCCAAGGAGCCCTTTTGGAGGCATTCTCAGAGGCTTTCAGGACTCTTCCCGCGTCATCGGTGCCGACTCAGACGCCTTCCCGACGGACCGGACCTGCCACATCCACCTGAAGAGACTTGTGACCTCGCAGGATTGGGAACTCGGTCTTCCCGGATCACTGCGGGGACGACGACCCCAAATGCAACAAGTTCGGCAGGGACGCCCAGTCGTCCGATCGGTGTGAAACAGCGGGGAACTGGCGCAGCTGGGCACAGCTGGGCGCAGGGCATGGGGATTGAGGATGTGAAGCTGCGCAATAGATGCCTCATGCCCTTCCCCCACAGTGCGGTCAATTTTTGGTCAATGCACATTTGGTTTTCCCACAAGAGCCGCCTACGTTCGGTCCGCGATTTCAGAGAAAGAGAGACTCTGCTCAGAAACGCTACAACAAGCTTCTCAGGACGGAGAACTCGCAGCTTCTCGCAACTCGCGCCATTGCTTGGCACTGAGGTTTCTATTCGAACAAGGTGCCCACGCCAATGATGGAGAAGCTGAGTTTGAAAGAAGTTTGCAGCTTCCACTAATAGGTACTGTAGGGCGTTTAGGACTGGAGTTACTGTCTCAGACGTGCAGATGGAAGTATGTTAAGACTGCTAGCAAGCCATGTGAGCTGAGTGATTACATGTCAATATGGCAGTGCCTGAAAGGCTTGAGCTGGTTTGACCCACAGATTACATGATTTACATGTTTATACCTCGATTTGGAGTGATGGGGACTAGAAGCACTGCCTTTCAAGGCTTCGATCACCGAGGAAGTCACTTCTCTATAAGCTGGTGGAGCACAACAACAAGGAGGGTGTTAGTGTGAATGAGCCTCTCGGCCGGAGGTCTTGTGGACAAGAATCATCATGGGCTACCATCGTCGGGGCCCGACTGTCGGTTGGTCTGCTGGTAGATGATGGAAGTGGGTGCCTCATAGTGTTCTGAGCATGTGAATGATGCAGTTCTCAATGCTTGGCTTGTGGCCTGTTTCTAAGGAAGCTGTTCAAGCACGTCCACACCACCAAGCACGGCCTCATGCTGCTCGGCGAAGCGACACCTATAGGGCCAGCGGCTGCCGGAACGGCTGCATGACTCGATCGAGTCATGAGGGCCCAGTACGAATCATCACTGGCAATAAAATCGCTATCCTTTGTACAGGCCTTTCCACATCTATGTACCAGGCATCATCATCCAGTAAAGACAAGCTGGCCTCAAGAAGTCTTTTTGGCCCACCAACCTGAAACCTTCAGGCGAATCTATGAGGTGCAGAATGTCTCCCAGGAGCCCGACAAGCCGATGCGCCCTGAAACCGATGTGAGGAATCACGATGGATCAAGCGCTTGCCCCATGGATGTGAGGGAACCCTCCTTCAAGAATGGATTGTCAAGTGAGAAGCGGCGACTCCCAGGTTTAATCAAGTTATCCTTCAACCAATTCAGAGAAAATAAGAAACGTGTGTGCCGGTGCCGCGTTGGATATTCTCGTTCCTGTTTCAAGCTGTCAAATTGCTGTCCGAGCTGTCCGATGATCGCTGATGAAGCCAAGCAAGCCGAGTTCCAGAGTCTGCCACAGGAGAGCAAGGATTGGATTGCCGATCCAAAGAACCGAATCTGCGATGCGCCGGGCAGTTGGTATTGCTCCTTCGTCGTACCGACCGACATCGACCGGACCGACGTATCGACGTGACCAAACCGGGCACTGAAGCACCGTGTGAGGCTGGTGGCCATTTTTTTCGTTTGTAACGGGGGTGGTTGAGCCGTAGTTCTTCTGATTTGGATTGATTTGGCATGTTTTAGGATATTTTGGTACTGAAATAATTAATATCACCCAGACATGGTATGACTACGGATGGTCAGTTGAAGGTAACCATGTAACCAAAGAAGTATTCACGCAGTTAGAAGCCTCACAAAGCAAGTTCCCACCTGTTTTTTTGAACCCTCGTTAGTCACTGAGGAAAACCATCGTTGGTAACGAAACCGGCTGGTGTACATGCACCATCATGCACCTGTCACATGGACTCTACGTGTTCAAAGATGACCAACAATGTGCGAAGCTGCGTGTGTCCTATAGTATACAGTGGTTTCAGAGGTTCGATGGCACAGACCCGGTTCGATGTCCTGAAAAGATAAGGGGTCCAATCATTGCACCACCGACCGACTGGGGGGCCCTTGTGCCGTCCTCTCAATCCACATGGGCCGATCTCCGGGGTGTCCAGTCCTTTGCCGCCCGCCTGCCAAACGAGGTGTGGGTCAATACCCTCCAGCCCTCAACAAGCTCATTGCCAAGCGCCGGAACTTCGCGCAGATCGAGGTGCGTGACAGAAACGAACGCTTCCCCGTGACAGAAACGAGGGTCCCTGCCAATGTGGATCATCCATCCATGAAAGAGAAGATCTTAGAAGTTGGATCAAGGAGGCACAGGGAATTCCCACTTATGCATCCTTCTCATGTGATTGAGAGGAGTGAGTGGGGTCTTGAATTTTTCGTTGAGCACCACAAGTGCTTTAGATGCGCTAAAAAATAGCAGAAGTTACAGTATCAGTAAACCGACGCAGGCGAAGAACCAAGGTGAGTTTGCGACGCTAAGATATCACAGAGAGTTTTGACATGTTTTTACCCGGTACATGGAAGGCTAGCCTAGCTGCAGTATGTTCCTACAATTACATTACCAACTCTGTGAGAGGTGATCCATGACAAGGCAGCCCTCTCCAGCTACCCGCCGAATTCTGAGGACTTCAACAAGAAGGGTGAGAAAAGCGCTTACACCCGGCTTATCGAAAAGGAGAAGGGGGAGCTGTGAACCAGTGAACGACTTGTGTGAACAATCACGGTGCTTCAGCGAGCGCTTGGCATGGCAGAAGAGCGATGGTAAATTTGCTGATTTGTATACTGTACAAGGTTAAAAAAAAAAACACCATCCAAATCCATCCAACGAAACTCGGTCTGGGCATTAACAACGGCATTCTTGCGGTCAATGACCCCTTGGCCCCTTTGGCAGGATCAAGATGAATCAAGTTGACGTGAGGCCAGACTTGGTGCTTCCAAGCACAATTCCATCATTATTTTGGACTCATCAACTGCCATGCTGTTCCAAATGTAACGCGTGAGAACGATGTAGGCTGCGTGCAGAGCAACTCACCACATCTCGCCTTTGCGCAGAGAAAAACATGAGGCACCATTTGACCGAGGCTGGGTTGATCAATCCGTGCACAGAGACCTGCAAACAGGCAATGGTCAATGTGTCTCAACAATCAGGGCAATCAGGGTGTACTGTTTAGGTTCTGTTTTGATGGCAAGTTTTCAGTGCTCACTTCAAATGTTGACAGGCATGAAGGTGTATCAAGTATCGGATCGTTCTTCTTTGGCACTCCCTTGGGACTATACCAAACCGTTTCGATGAACCAGCAACTGTGCTGACATTTGCTGTGAAAGTTTCTCCCTTTTCTCAGTTACTGTATTTTTCTTTAACGATCATTGTTATTCATTCACTTCATTCCTTCCCTATCCTGCACAATGCAACTGATTCGGGGTCGGGAAGATGGTGCTGACCTAGGTAGGAGTCTTTCACACTTCTAGGTCATGAGCCCTCAAGAAGGGTCTAGAGTCTAGAAAAAAACAAATTGCTGTAGCATCCAAGTGGAATTGCTTCTCGTTCTGCATCGGCGTTTGCGCGATTCCAAGGGCCAAAGCGTGTTTGCGTTTCCATGCGCGTGAGGGGCTCCCTATTTCAACGCGATCTCGATCCGGACGATGTTGAGAACAGAGGGGCAGACAATAGTAGACAGACAGGGATAAAGTAGGTGCACTTTCACCGGTTGCTCCCACTAGCTTCCCCTCTTCTCCATGCGCAGACAACGATGCCAGCTGATGACTGGCTTGCACTGGCTTGTGTTTGTATATTTGAAGGTCGGGGATGGCTGTTTGGCTCGAGAAAAGCTGGCCAGCTAGTCCCAGAATGCGGTAGTCAACTCCAAAGTCTCAGCAAAGTAGGCTGACTTGTGACCTTCGAATAGCTTGTGACTGGTTCATGGTCTCCTTGCGCTTGGGTCCCCACGTTTGGTCACACAGTGTGTCACCAACTTTCTGCTTGTTTGCACGTGACTGACGGGAAGAACGGAACCCAGAAACGACCCATGCTGCCCAAGGGCAAAACGATGGGTTTCATCCTGGTAGGGAATTCCTCACAGTAACCCGGTCTTCAGTGGATTCTTCAGTCAAGCCCTCAACTTGGTTCCAAGGCCAACCCCCAATCAAGGAAATGCGAGCCGCTCGAGGTTGATGGCGCACCCCGACCAGACCCCTAGATCCATCGGTTGTGGGGCACCCGACCAACTGCCTTACCATGCCTCAGACTCACAGGCCCTGCACTGTACCCTCACAGGGGCCTCACCAACGTGGCCGAATCTTCCCATCTCCACTGCCATGCCATGCTTTTGCTGCCCAAAGCTGCGGTGGAAAGAAATGCTCCTCGTGCCGACGGAGGCAACCGCGACGGCCAAAGGTGATGGCCTTGCATTTGGATGCCTGTTAAGCCTATGGCACACAGAATGGGGATGTTGAGAATTGTATAGAATTGATGAGGCTTAAGTTACGTAGATTGTTTTGGTATACGGTATACAGTATACATGTTTGACACCTTTCACATCTCATTAAAAATCTGGTCTTTGCTCATTCTTTAAGACTGGCCCAATCAAATCGGGACAGGCGATGCGTGTGTCCAGGCGTGAATGTCTTGTTTTCTCAAACACCTAAACGCGCACTCCAGTGGCAGGTCGGTGGTCCTTGCTCGGGTATTTCGCCGCTTGGAAGAGAACTGGGGATGAAAGCCGAAAGCCTTGAGCCTTCGTCAAGTTTGGTAGCGGCTGTATAATTTTGGATGACATCCTGACATACCCTGGCTGATTGTGGGGTTCATAACAGGACATCTACTTGGGTGGCGCTCAATGAAACTGAAAATTGGAGAGGCAGAGGTTTGAGCACAGAACCGTGCGGAAGGCCAAAAGCATTTCAGGCTGGATATTTTTGGGTGCTTGTTCAGGTCCAGTGGAGCTTTTCAGCGGCACTTGCCCATGTCGGACCACTTGCAGAATCATTCTGTTGGGAACTGCGGACACTGCAAACACTTCCACCACTCCAGTGTCGTGATGTTCTGGCAGTCTGTCAAGGGAAACACATGTGTGATGCAGTCTGTCAACTATAAAGTTGCAATCCATGATATTCAATGCCTTGTGCATTTGCTTTGTTTTTTGCTTTGGGAAGGGTTCAGCCGCAGCCCTTCTTTACAGTATTCTACAATGGCAACGACGGCTCGATTTCACATTGGCCGCAAGGGCGTGGAATGAGTTTTAACAGTAGTTGACAGAAGAACAATGAAGGAAAGATCCTTGCCCCTTTTGCTCAGGTGAACCCTGGTACACAGCTGCATTCTGTGCAGGAACAAGTACAACAGTCCTGTCCAGAAACAGCTGTACACGCTTTAGGCGACCAACTTCTAGTTGTTGGAATCTATGTTTACATTTTGCACCTCATCGCTCCAGTTCTTCTTTGAATGGAGCCACTGTACAAGAGAATGGCGGAAGTGCAACATAAGTTTGAAACGTGACTCCTTCAAAGAAATGTTTCCTAAATCAGCTTCGACTTTGAACTCACAGGACTCCTGCATCTGAATTCTTCAAACTCGCAGACTTGCTAAGGGTTCCGAACAGCTGGATCAGCTGGGGCGGACCAGTGGACAAAGCGGCTTGGTGAGCTGTTATTGTTTTTTTTGTTTCCTTTGCCATTGTGAAATGCCCACCACACATCACCACACCATGCTATATAGTATACATATAGTTACGTTACATATCGTTAATATTGTTTATTGTATGTGTTTAATGCACATTTGTTTAAACGTGGTTTTTCAAATGGAGGTTGAGGTGGCATGATTCTGCAGACTTGGCAAGCAAGAGGATCATGATGGAACCTGTGGCAGATTGGACTGATCACTGATGTCGCCGAGTTTGTACATCGACAGCGTCTATCTGAGGAGAGTCCTTAATCAAAGAAGGCGCCAGAGGTGGTGACTTTCTGCTCTTCCATCACAGCGGAAGCTCCTTCGCCTCCACCTATTCCGTGCCTTGGGCATGCTGACCGCGCCAAGAATCATCCAAGGCTAAGACGAAGTAGCTAGCCGTCTCGCCCATCTTGCATCCAGTCATTTCTCCCCACAATTCACCCAGTTAAATTTAACAACAAGAAAAATCAAGGGCCATCACATGCCACATGCACCGCATCCAACGTTTGAGTCAGACGAACTTAGGGGCCTGTTCTCTCCCCCCCCGTCGGTCTCACAACTCCTCGTCCCACGCTGGCCCCACGCTTCGGCCCCCTCTCCACACAGTGCCCCCGCCTCCCGACCTTCGGACCTCCGGCGGAGCCCACGCGACGAGGTGGTCCACAAGATTGGCGAAGGTGGCTTCGGGAAAGTCTTCGCCCCACGGCTGGGATCCGGTGCATGGGCACCCCGAGTTCCTCCATTAAGCACCCCATCCGGTGACTCCTGGGAATTGGATCATTGAATGTTTCAAGGGCAGGCAGCAGTCATTGTTGAGAGAAAGGAGGGGGTCCACGACAGAACTACATGACGCCACTGGCAGAGCAGGTGGAGCCTGTGAAACGGTGGCGGCCAATGGATCATGAACACGATGTGCATCACGTGTTAAAGTCGAATGTCGCCGCATGTTGACAACAAGGTCGCGCACCTGTGTCTTTACAATTGGGATTTGCTCTCATTATTTCATGTCATATCGCCATTCTCTATGGAATTCACCTCTTCTAAATATATACAGTACATGTTGCGAAAGTCCTAGCCCGAAGGAGATTTGTCATCTTCCAGGACAACATGTTTGCCGGCCATAGCCATAGCCATGTATACGGACACACAGGGAGAAAGTTGCAGAATGCACAGGAGTTGGTGTTCACCCTGAGCTCAGTTGAGACAGTACAATTAAGTAGTTCAGGGTTCAGGGATGATTCTCCCCCGAATTTGTGCGAAGCAGATGTAGATGTGTGACCAAAAATTGTGGGGACAAGAAGAGCGGGTGTGAAGTTTACAAACTTGTGTCTTGAAATGTCCTGAAGTATTGCAAGCACGTTGCACTCACGCTCATGGGAATGGCAAGCTTTTACATCTCCCAAACACTCCATGCGTGGAAATTCTTACATCTACGTACAGTACTGTAATTACCCAGATTGACGCATGAAACATCTTAAAGCCAGCCAAATGTAGGTCTGTAGGTCAATAGGTCACTCAAGACTCCATCCATGGATTGTTTGGGTCGTCACACATTGGGACTGTTCTTGCTGGATCCGTTTCTGTCGATCTTCCCCACCTAGGCTGCGACCCATCGGACCACGGGCATCATGCGTGCCGTGAAGCGGCTCCGCAAGGCGGGGGATGCATGGGGTTGCAATGCATGGTGCCTGTGTTGTTTTTTGGTCTGACCAGATCCGACTTGTGAAGCAATTGTCAGGTGCCTGGCAGACAGGAGTTGCATAAGAACGAGCTCAATGCGCTCTTAGGGCTCGACCATCCGCACATCGCGACTGACTTGAGATCTTGATTTGGTCCAAATGTTGTTTTCCTCCCGGCTGCCTAGTCATCATCTAACATATCTATATAATATATATATATATACAAATATAGATAGTCATTTATAGTCATTCGTTGGAGGAAAGGCCAAAAAGCCAAGGAAACTGCCGGCTTCTTCGATCTCTGTCTCCGTTTGCCACGTATACGCCACGGGGATAGGATGGACACGAGGGGCGCACACCACTTCCAACGCTGAGGTGAAGCTCTTGGAGTACTATGATGAAGAGGAGAAAATGGGGGGTCGACCCAGTGAATCCTTGTAGTGAATGGGCCATGTCATTGAGAGAAACACTGACACTTGCGGTTTCCACGGTGTCGGTGCCAGTGCCGTTCAGCACGGACTCTATCTGTCGGCTGTGGATCCAACAACCCGCTGGATGGACCGGGTC